AATTCCTGAGATCGAGGATTTAAAGCCTGAACAAAGAGAATGTTTGATGAATTTTATCAAGGGAAAAGACATCATTGCCCTTCTCCCTAAGGGATTTGGAAAAAGCTTAATATACCAATTTGCCCCGTTAGTGGCACATTACATACGTCACGACCAAATAGCAGCGACTGGTTAAATGAAAAGAAGTACTCGCCTACTGTCGAGCGAACGAATTCTAACACTGCAAGGTCAGACGGTTTCTACAAAGTGAAATCAGGCTAAAGATTTAAGCCTTAAAAGGTTGAATCAATAATGTCTATGACTCTTTACAGATGCATACTAAATACTGAAGTGTTTCATTCTGTTTATTTATTATAGCTCATGGCCTTTTTTATTGTATAGTTAGAATAGTTTTTGTGGTTTAACTCTGCTCTTGGGTTTTTGGGTCAGTGGCATGAATTAGTTTCAGTTTTAATGTCTATATTTTCATCAGCAATATATATTGAACTTCAAAATTTGTTATTGTGACAGGCCTAGCAAAGACAGAACATATTAGGGGTTATAGAGCACTACATCTCACCTTCTGTTGTTGAGTAATGTCTATGTTTTCCAGTGAGCATCTCATATTTAAAATCAGGAACCATTATTCAGAAATAGGTTTGTTTGATCTTTTTTCCATCAACATCAGAAACCATATTCCCTTTGCTCACCTCAGCCTTCTCCCTGTTGGTTTTCAGTTTTTGCCTTTACTACCTCAAGAGCATCACTAATGGCTCGGTAGTACTACACATCATAAAATCCATTTTGGAAACGGCTCATTTCCATGGTCTGGTGTGCACTCTGCTATAAAACAGCTCTCGTATTAAACTGCCTTTAAGAGTCACGCCTCATCCCGCCACTGCCTCCACCCAATTTATTTGGGATAAATGTAAGACCTGAAGCCCCAAATTGAAGCTGCCACCCGTGAGTAAACTGCTTCTGCGCTGCTCCTGCCCTGCTATCACACTTTCCGAGGACTTCTTCAAATGCAAATGAAACGCTGTGCACCCATGACGGATACCGTATATTTTCACAAGTGTACAAAAGAGTAGGATGAAGAATCAGTTGGATAAAACTCATTTTTAAAGCCACAGTTATTACCACATCTCCGCCGCCTTCGTACATTGTCTTCATACGCTTGTTTCAGTTCAATTTGGGCCTGACATGACTAAATCCACCGAAGTCAGCAAAGATTTATAGACCATATAAGAGGTTTTCTCTGTAGCTTTGTATCCAGTGGTTTTGAAGTCAAATGCGAGATGTAAAGCTCTTTATTTTAAGCAGAGCACAGTAATGTAATGTGCAATGTTGAATGAACATTACAAAGAAAAATTATTCTGTTTTTATACTAAAAATGTTCACATGGCAACTACAAAAAGGCTGCAATAAAACAAGACATTTGACATCAGGGTTTATGATTCACAACATGGGGATAAAAACATGGGGTACATGCCTTATAGAGCTCTGTGCCAAAGCTTATCTATACTTATTGATACCCAGAAACTAGATATTAAATTGAAAAGGCATCAGTAATGAAAATAACTTAAAGGTCCCATTTTACGTTAAACTGACTGTTGTGGTCTCTAAGCCATGTTAAAATGTTATTACCTGTTCAAAAACATACGTGGAGTTGTGCTTTATCTCATTCACACATGTCTGAGTAATCCTTTATTGTTGGTCCACATCTCCAAAGCTCAAAATGTTCTGTTCCACCAATTTTCAAGTTATCAGGTACCTTTTACCTTTAGTTCAGTAGACACAGGTAATTCCAGAACTGAAAAATTATTCTAGCTTAGGTGTATGGAGTGGAGCACTTCCTGTATTAACAGATGGCATCACAAGGTGGAATATAGTGTTTTCAATTTGAGAGAAGAACAACAAAATATGCTGGGTTTGTGTTTTAAATGTGTGTGAATGAAACAAACACAACTGCAGGTATGTTTTTGATGAAGAAACAACATTATAAGAAAGACCAGAAAATAACATAATGTACGCCCTTTAAACAGCATAAAATCAAATAAAAGGCCACATTGTAATAATAAGGAAGCTACTATTATTTTGTCTGGGAAATTACATTCTCTTCTCATCAAAATCTGGATCTGTATTGAGCCTGTTCCTTCTGTTCCTTAGTACTTAGTATCAAAATCAAGTTTGAAACTTTAGTATCACAACAACATAATATTCAGTTCACTATTCATTTCTGGCTGAAATAGATGTAAGATAATGCCTTTAAAATTGCGCTTGGGCTTGTGCTTCTTTCTGCCTGGGCTCGAGTGGTATCCGCTGGTTTTGAAGTCAAGTACTGGGTGTAAAAAGCAGGGCTCAAACAGGCAGCGTGCAGAGCTTTCTTATCTCCTCATGAGCGTGAGATGAGGCTCCTAGTGTGAATAATGCTGTCCCTTGGCGTTCATTCAGTCTGCTGAGCTTAGTACTGCAAATGAGCAAGGACTAAAGGTGAATAGGAAAAGTGCTATGATGTACGGATGGGACAATAAACAATAAAACCATTTAATGTGATTAAAAGGGTAGAGACAATAGTCATTTGTGTACATTTTGTGTAATTGTGACAGTTGCCAACAAAAACAATCATCATTTTACCACAAGATTGAGCAGATACAAAGCTATTAATTCCACGATGTTCTCTTCTAGATTGTTGTTTTAGAAGATTTAACTTATAATGGTTAATAACCATTACATTTCAAATGGAATAATTATCATCATTTTAGCATTAGTCACAACAATCTTAATTTACTTAATCACTATTTTCTCTGAATGCACAAAAGCTAAATTATATATCTTCTCAGTGTTCTTAAAATAATAAATCAAAGGTTTTTAGTCAGATTATTTGCTGCAGGGAGCCAGTGTCACACTTAGTTTTGACCCTATTTTCATTTAAAATAGAATAGTAGGACAAAAACTCTGAGGTTTATCCAAAACAGATGAAAAGAGGTACAGATTTTGGGAACTGTGCGGTGCATTTTTAAAATCACGTCCAGCTGGCTGCATCAGCTGTCTGTGGATCAAACAGAACGTGCCTCTCCAGTGGATACGCAGGTCAAGCTGGTCCCCTGAAACTCCAATAGAGCCACACTTGTACTTAATACTATGGAACAAGGGTTGCATCAAAAAACAGATACTAATGGCTTCTAAAACTAGTATCTAAACTAAATACTCACTTGAAAAAGTATCGATACTACAGATTATTGCACAAAAAGGACAACATTAGACCTTTCCTGAATAGTTTTAGAGTAATCTTTATGTGACCCACATTAAAGAAAGTACAATATTGTGTTTTTTTTATTAGCATTGTGTTGTCAAAATCCATTGTAGCATTGTAATACCCTTAATGAACGTGTATAACCTTAATACAAGGACACAACTATCAAAAACAATCTATTCTAAAAATAGTATTGAAACTAGATACTCATTCTATACTGATTCTGAAAACAATTACACAAACAGGACAAAACTGGACTTTTCCTATATAGTTTTAGAATAATCTTTACCTGACCCACATTAAATTAAGTACAATATTGTGTATTGTCTATTATAAAAGAAATTAAGAAAAAATGTTTTTATTATCATTGTGTTATCAAATCAATTGGAGATTTTTCTTCTTCTGAAAATTGAGTTTGTAATTTTGTATGGTGACAACACTAGCTTCTGTTGGAGTGGCGACCTTGGGAGTTGACAGTGGGAGTGCGTGTGTGAGAAGAAGTTTAATTTACACTTGCTCTAATCAGGCACAATAGAGATCTGTGTTAATCTCCAGCTCATCCCTTCGACTTATCACCAGCTATTTGTATGAAAGTGGGTTGAGCGAAAAGGCCACCAGAAACCAGGCTCTAGATATCAGCCACTAATGGTGGGTATCAGATCACAATGTCCAGTAGGTTTATTATAGTTATTGGAGTTGGGGGTAACAGTACAACTAATATGTAAAGGGTAGTTACTATAAATAATCATGCTTAAGATCATAAATCTTTCAATAAATGGACATAGCTAACCCATTGTTGCAGAAAGTGAGCATGGGGGCACTCTCAGCTTCATGGACTTTACATTAAAATATTGTCACCCCTCTCTCTGTAACTGCTGATGTGAGCGTCATCATTTTGGTCCTAAAATGTTATATTAACCAGCTCTAAATGATCCTGCTGTTTTTTCTTTCGCAGTTTTGTCCATAAATAAGTTCCTATTCCTAATATACACCTCTGCTCCAAATTCGCTCCTATAACTCTGTGAACTTCATTTGACTGGAGACAAATGTTATGGGTGACACTTCACATTTTTGTATAACTCTTCTGAGAACACAATGTAATGAACTAGGAAACTGGCTTTTGCCCTCAGTCTAGGAGTATGACATAATACAGAACATACTGATCTAAAAAGTATTTGCAAAAACACTCTATAGATTAGTGTGCTCAATAACACTAATGTGGGATGTTTGCATGGACAGCTGACATGTTATTACAGTGGATCTGAGTGACTCTTTAGACAAACTTCATCTTTAGCACTAAAAGATATAGATGGTTAAGATGTAGTAGAAAGCAGGGAGGTCACACGTGTTATAATAATTTCATTTCTTAATTAAAAAGATGAAAAATATTTTGTATTTTGTTATTTTGACTTGTTGCATTGCTGGTCCTCTCAAAATCATGTCTTTCTTGAATAAAACTTTACAGATGAAGTTTTCAATTTATCATATATACCATATTCTTCTATTATCATACAGTTGACGACAGCAGCTCTGGTTGAATCTCTAATGACCTGAATCTATTGAACATTTTGACAAATATATAAAGCCAAAGAAGAAAGATAAATGACTTTTCACAGCTAACAACATTGCTTCCTTTCTCTGCTTCTCTGTACAAACATAGTCTCTGCTCAGTGACCCCTCATGTAACACTATTTCTATCATTGCATCAGTCTAGCACAACTTTCTGTAGTTGAATATTTGACTCTTTCTTTCTGTTTCTCCACAGTCAACAAGCACAAGCCTTGGATAGAGACATCGTACCATGGAGTGATCACAGAAAACATGGACACAGTACTGCTGGACCCTCCTTTAGTGGCTCTGGACAAGGACGCCCCGGTCCCATTCGCAGGTACGCAGTTACTCACCAATCTCAGCTGTAGGCCTTGGGATCTGTACGCCTCAGTAGTTGTTGTACTAGTAGTAGTAGTAGTAGTAGTAGTAGTAGTAGCAGTATTAGTAGCAGTAGTAGTAATAGCAGTTGCAGTAGTAGCAGTTGTAATAGCAGAAGTGTGTGAACAAAATAGTAGTAGTGTTAGGGTAGTAGTAGTTATAGCGGTAGTGATAGTAGTAGCAGCAGCATCTGGAATAGTAGTAGTAATTGTATTTGTATTTGTAGTAGTGACAGACGTACTCCTAGACCCTCCTTTAGTGGCTCTGGACACAGATGCCCTGGGCCCATTCGCAGATACACACTTACTCACCAATCACAGCTGTAGGCCTTGGGGTGTGTACGCCTCAGTAGTCCCTCTGCGCAGCAAAAAACTTCCCAACATCAAACAAAACGGATGACACAGCAGTTTTCTGGGCAGCCTGTTTGTCATGGAGACCGGATTCCATTTATCACCCTTAGCGGTGCACAACATTCGAGAATTTATTTTTCAGTGGTTTTTATGATACGGCTCAGACAAAAGGCATACGGCTGAAGTTCTCCAATATATCTGTAATGCAAACTCGTACATGGTATGCAAGGCAGCTCAAGGGGAAAAGAAATGCTTGTATTGTTTGTACATGGGATTTTTGCAGGCACTGTTCTAATTAGATTATAGCATTAGCTCAATAAACAATAATAATATTACATTGGAGGCAGTTACTGGTTGTGAGGCATACAGTACACAGGCCTGTCACAATAACAAATTTTGAAGCATGTTATATTGTGATAAATAATTATTCTGAAAATACTTTATACCACTGACACAAAGCAGGATAATCCCTGTAAACCTATTTTTAAATATACAGTATCATTAAAAGGCATAAGATGCAACAAAGAAATAGCAGAATGTACCAATAATTAGCCACAGAAGTTATTTATTCAACCCTCTACAGCTCAAATCTCATTACATTATTATTACACATGATAAAAATTGAAAACCAAAATATATTGTTCCAGCTGTCATATACTGAATGATGAATCAATATTGTAATTATTATGACAGGCCAACACCTAAACACTTTTTCTTTTGCTCTTTTCCAGCACTTCAGTTTCACCGAGGGGAGTTCATAGTGTGCTCTAGACCAAAGCTTGCAGAATTTCATGAAGAATTCAAATTTCAGAAAGTATGACAAATAGTCTATCATAACAATGATACCAAATTCCAGAAGCATGATAATTTGCTGTAGAAAAATATTGTGATAAATGATAATATTGACATTGACACAATAACAATAAAGTAAGATAATCCCAGGAAGTCCTTTTTAACATGTACAGCAACATTAAAGACAGCAATAAGGAAAATCAGAATGAACTCATTATTAGCCATTCACCGACTTCAACCCTCAACTTTTTATCTCATAATTGTAACAAAAAATAAGGAAAATCTCCCTACTATTTCAACGACAATGTACACACCATAAATATTGAGCCCCAAAATATTGCTCCAGATTCCCCTGAACGATGAGTGGATATAGTAATTATCATGAGAAAGCATAATAGTCTCATCAAAATGCCCAAACTGACTAAAAAACTCATTTTCACAGTTTGACATTGTGGTGATCAGAACTTAAGCCTGACACTGGTTTTTCATGTAAAAGCTTTGAAGCCCCCTCCACTTACGTACTCCAATTATGATTAAACTATTTGTTGTTTTTTACATAGTTGTCATTAGAATTATACATGAATGACAATCCTTTTATTTTCAAATATGAAAAGAAGTGGGAACAAATTATGAGGATGCGACTTTTATTAATCCTCGTCTGTTTTTATCGCTAGTTTGCTTGTGTCTGTCAAATATACTAGAGCTGGCGCTTGTTACGTGGTGGCATATTGACAGAGTTACTTAGCAAATAGCAGAGAAAAGTGTTGTATTTCAACATCCAAACATTACAAGCTGTTGTAATGTCAGCTTTTTCTAAAAATCACATAGAGTGCCGTTCACTGTAATTGGCCCTTATGACAATGCATTTATTTTTATCATCTTGTCAGTTTCAGCATCGGGATACATCTTCCCCTCAGCTCCTGACAGGAATCCATTCAAGGCCCTTGCTAATTGAAGCCATGCGTCATCCCTTTTTCCTCGCTACTGAATTGCCCCATTAATCTGACGGAAAAATTGCTCCCAAAAGTGGCGAAATATATGACTTTCTCCCAGGGCGTTAGCTGTTCATGACAAAGTTAATTTTCAGTCCTGAATTCAAATCTCACCCAGAGGACAAAGCAGTACAGCTTTATCTGGAAGGCACATTAACGCCAATGCATTCTGTGGGAAACAGAGGCTGAGAAACAGAGGCTGACAGGACAGGAGCAGTGGAAATAGCAATAGTAGTAGTAGTAGTAGTAGTAGCAGCAGCAGTAGCAGTATTAGTAGTGGTAGTAATAGTAGCAGCAGTTGTAGTAGCAGTAGTAACATTGTATTGGTTGTATGAACAAAATAGTAGCTGTGTCAGGGTAGTAGTAGTAGTAGTCGTAGTAGCAAAAGTGGCAGTTGTAGTAGCAGCAGCATCTGGAAAAGTAGTAGTAGTTGTATTTATAGTAGTGGCAGTAGCAGCCGCATCTAGAGTATAGTAGTATTAGTAGAAGTGGTCACATTTGGACCACTGGTAGTCGCTCCTTGTCACAGCCTGATCTCATAAGATCTAAAAAGCAGGGCTGGACTGGGAAACCGCCAGGGATACCAGGTGCCACAGTGGCTCACCAGTATCAGTGTGTCCTTAGGCAAGACACTTCACCCACTTTGCCTAGTATGAAAGTGGTGTGTGCGTGAGTGTTGGTGGTGGTCGGGGGTCAGTTTGCCCCAGGGCAGATATGGCTACAGAAGATTCTTACCACCACTCCTGTGTGGAGTGGATGAATAATGCATGAAATAGTAAAACAACGTCTGGAAAAAGCCCTATATGAAACTAATGCTTCAGTATGATGCTGATGATGATGCTGATGCTGCTGCTGATGATGATGATGATGATTATTATTATTATTATTATTATTATTATTATTTGTAGTAGTAGAGTAATAGAAACATCAAAAACAGAGAAAGTATTTATTTTTGCTTTTGTCCAAATTACTACTCGATTGTTTGTATTTTGGAGTAACAATGCGTTTACTTGATTTCTAGCACTTGTTTCTCCTCTGGAACACAAAACACCAAGATTTATTCTCAGTCTGATTTCATATCACAGTTTGCTCTAAAATGATCCTCCCGTGGACCATAAATAAAAGCCGTCTGGTACAATTGTTCTAGTCTTTAACTTTTACTGCTGTGGCTGTTTAAACCAGAGAGGCGTTACACAGTAGTTTACATTTACCCACAGCCATACAATAGAAGAACAAGAACAGGTGTATTAACTGTAGCGTGACATAATTTCTAATCTCCAATGATTTTGTCAGGTGCTCATTTTGTCTGCTAACAATACAAAAACTGCTGGCGACCACGGCAACGCTGACAGTGACAAGGGGGAAGAGAGAGGGGAGAGAGAGAGGAGGAGGGGAGCGTTGCCGTAATTAGACAAAGTATTGGGAGACTCCAAAGCAAACCGAGGGGCTTTTTTGGCAGCTTTACGCTCACCAGCTCATTATGGCAAAATGGCTGCTATTAATCGCGAGGCCTGACAAGCATGGAAAAGTGATATTCAGCTTTTCCTCTCCCCCATGGTTTTCTTTTGTGTATACGTGTGTTTACTTCGACGCTACAGCTATAATTTGCCTTTTTCAGTGCTACGTGTGAGCTGTTTTGTAAATAATGACCGAATAGAAGTGACCTTGGAAACTGTGGATAAGCCAGAATATATATTAGCAAGTTTCTGTCTGCCCGGTATTGTAAAAGCAGTTAACCTTGATTCAATAGAAATATGAGTGCTGTGGAAAAAAGTCTCAATTAGGACTGGCGACTGTTAAAAGTTACATTGATTGTGCTGAAAAAAGTGAAAGCATACTCATTCCAACACATGGTCTTTATTGAACTCCAAATAAATTATTTTTCGCACTGGAAGTTTTCTAGGCGTCAAACACTGAGAAAATCGAATACACACAAATATAAACATACCATGGCCTATAACTGACCTTTCGTTCTCCACTTTAAATAGGAGCACTATTGGTTTCAAATATTTAATGATGTACAAGTCATTAGATATTATAATTACATTTGCAGGTCAGTGATCTTTTATTCATAAAAGAAAAGTGTATCATTGTATCTTTAATTAGACCACATACCTCACCATAGATACTCAACAGTCACCGTGGAAATCTAAAGGTTTGGTGTGGCAGTGAAAAGGAAGCAACCCAAAGCAGAGGTTGGTTCCATGATTAACCACGGGCCTGTTGTCTGGAGAAGGTCAGACGCTGAAATATTGCAGTGGAAGCCGAAGAGTGCGACTTTGCACTGCTGCTGACTGGAGATATTTCTCTCCTTTAAATGTATTTCATTGCTTGCACTATAATGAATGAAACCCAAAGAATAGCTACCAAGGAGACCATCAAAAGACCAGCTCTGTTCCAATTTATCTTCCTTTGGAATTGTCTAGCAGCAGCTTCTCTGCAGTTTGCACAAACCACCCTGACAATTCACCCAAATGGCATTTCCAAATGGGTTTGTTTTGTGTTTTTGCTCCTTCTCTCTCAGCCTTTGTCATTCAAGGATTCTCTTTTTACCACCACAGTCCTATCAAACAGCTATATGTGCAGTACTGCTATTAGCAGTCTAGTTACACAAAGATTGTTGAGCAATTTCCTGTCAGCCCAGTAGGCATATTATATACTAGTACTATACTATACATACAGCATTAGGGCTGTAGTCAACTAAAGAAATTCTTAAAAGTATGATGTGTCTGTGTATCTGACCCAAACTGCACTCTCAAGACACAACTTATGCAAAAAAAAAAAAAACCCTTCCACAAACTTTATTGATTCACAAGAGAAATTAT